AATCGTGCTTGTCAGTTTAAAGAGCCTACACAAAGCCTGTCTGAATTTTAAGACGTTCAACAGGTAGCAATTAATTTTCGACACCTGGGCCAAACCGGATCCCACACCTAAAGGTGCACAAAACTGCTTTCCCGAATCTTCAAGTGAGATTTAAGTCATGTTCGAAACTATTACAGCAAAAAATGGTCGGGTTAAGATTTTTCGCCATAACGTATCGTAAATATAGTGTAGTCGTCTTTTAAAGCGGGCAGCTGACTCATTAATACACATTCGAATCGGCTAGTCCTCATGATATATATATATATAATGGTAGAGGGGGGCGCTCAGCGATCCTTCTTACGGAACGCACTCGTTCCATTGTGCCTTGTTGCACAGCGGCGCATGATAAAAGCAGTATTTTATTACCGACAAAGACAAGAGATATATGTAATTGGCGGATATTTGAGGTATTTGCAATTGCTTTCCTCGCGACAATTTGTAAAATTTGTAGTAACCGGGCCTCCAGGTCAGGAAGAGGTGATAAGTGCGCTAAGAATGCTGTATGTTTTTTGACTTGGCCCCTATGGCTTCCAGCTCCACCATGCGTCTAAAACCACACCCCTTAAAACCAAACTAGCCATAAAATGGAAAAAAGTTTTTATGATCACAAGGCTGAATGCCACACCCTCCCCCTAGAACAGTCAGACGTGAGCAAAAACTGCTCGCGGAGTGGTGATCGGGTTAAGCAACCAGCATCCACTTTGTTACCATGACAAAAACGCAGTTCGTTAATATTGGTGGGTCCAATTAAGCAGTTTGCATAATTGTTGCGAAGTCTTATGACTGAGACTTGATAAACTGTACACATGCACAGGAACACTGATCCCAAAAGGTACCGGGGAAGAAATGAGAGGTTGCCGTTGACTTGCGTGCTGCTGTTGGCGTTAGCTTGATGAGTGGAGTGTACTGTGCATAGATGCAGGTTAGTAAATGGTGGATGTTTTAAGGTGGGAGTGTGTGTGGACGGAGATGAATGTTATAAATTTAACGGCGAGATGAAAACGGCCTTGTGCGGAGGCGGTGGCTACTCGAGTAGTCTATTAGCACGATCGAGTGGACAAGACGCGGAAGCATTGTTGATGGCGTGGACACTGTTCAATTAATCAACCTCCCACAGTTTGCCCAGTGAAAACCGTTGAGACAGGATTTGAATTACAGGCTAGGGAATTGCACAATCCTCTGCAGCATCAACAGCTCTACAAAGACAGTCGGAGTGTCATGCGACACCGGGGTGTGAAGCAAAGACGTGACAAACCCACGGACTAGGCAACTGATGATGGACGGAAAGATGCGCAGTCAAACTGCCTGCTCGACCTCGTTTTCTGCTCTCCGTAGCTGAAACATTCAGAAATGTGCCTTCGAGGGCATGGCTTTGCACAGTTTGTTTATGCACTCACTGTCGCACCCAGAGCTGACAAAGGATACCTCCACTCAGAGCCAGAAATAAAATACTTTCCTCACAGTATTTTCAACACTTTCACATAGGGAAGCCCAAAAGATGAGTTACGATCGCGATCGTTGTATATTCAAGCTAAATCAGCCTCACTAAAAGAAAAATAGTAGTCGGTTTTCAAGCCAAATACATCTCCCCTATTTCTGAGGAATATATTAGGTAAACCCAAGGGACTGTCCCCATAAGTGGTGGTTGATTATGACTAAAAACGGAGTTGACGGTATGATGAATCAACCCATATGCAGTAGGATGTGATGAGATCTTTTTACTTTTCACATCCGGAGACAACGACATTTCTTAGACTGATCTGGGAGTACAGAAAGCTATTTTTCTCCTGGTGCGGATATAAGTTGTTTATATGGTAGGACGAGGGAACAGAAACCGTACCACAATAAAGGTTGCCTTGAGTTAAATTTCAGGGAAATTAGGGTTGGGGTTAAGTTTATGGCTAGCGTTAGGGTTAGGGCACAGGAATAAGTGTTCTTCTTGGAATTTTTCGCAAGGCCACCTGTATTCCAGGGATCCCTATCCCCTGTCTCACAGTATTTCTTCCACCAAAACAAATTCGTCATACACACATACTCCCCAAATGTTATCCGATTACTTCCGATAACAAGTGGACTACGATAACAGGGATTGAGTTTTAATTTTAACTCTACGAAATGCTCAGGTAAAATGACATTTTGGTGTAGAAAACAAAAATACCAGTGAAAAGTAGACTGGTAAGGGAATAAGAATATTAGAAATTATTTATTAAGAAATGAAATTCAAATGTTTTTACTGATTTATTCAACATGAGAATGGTATCAGGATGGCAGGATGCAGTCACACAGACGTTTCAAATGAAATATATTTCGACGTTGTTCAAATGAACCTGACTTTGAGAGACATGATTGGTAAGTCGCTTGTTCACAGAAAGGTGCTGCCTGCCTGGGTTATTAATAATTAAGAAACAGACAAATTCGGTGTTGCTGAAAACCCACAGAGAAACATTTGAACACAAAAGTTTAACTACAACGCCACGAATGCAGATGCCGCTAATGACACCTTATTAGGGAACTTTACATTCTCCTGGTAAAGGGGAACAGACGCTCAATGCACTATCAACCTCTACACCATAGTCAAGGGTAAAGGCAAAGGTTTTTCCTAATTGTGTATTCCCAGACACAAAAGAGATTAACACCGATGAAAAAGGGAAAAGGTGGAAAGGGTAGGAGGGGTTTTTAACGCCGTTCTTCCAGCTTACTAAAGTAAGCTTTTTGTCTCAAAGTCGATTAAAGATCTATTTACGACAATACAAATAAACAGCATTACTTAAACAATAAGATTTTTTACTTCCGCAGATAGCTTTAACGCTATGCGCTTACGACGGTTTCTGTTATTGTTCTGAAAATGTGCAGAGATTATGTCGTCTTTTACTTAAAAAAGTGCGTACGAGTCTAAAAAGGTGAGCATTTTTAAGAGTGCTCTTTTCGCAGGAATGAATAGATCCCTATAAAACCTGCCGGGGTGTAGGGGCGCCCCGTTGTGGGTACACGTAATGGTCGCAGCAGATTGCCCACTAGCCTGCAGGTGTTGACAACACCTAGCGTCCATTAACTAGCACACAACCCTCACTTGTGGCTCCCCAAAGATAGGCTCTGCCTGACGGTCACACCCCGGTAACCACCTCAATCGGTGGGCTAAACAAGGTGAGTGTATCCGGGTATGCATCCCCACATACGGTAATTCTGCCCTCCACTCCCCCCCTAAATGTCACTGGCTGCATGGATCACCGCATTCCTATATCTCAGATGAGGCACCGTCTGCGACCTCGCAGGATACCACAAGTTAATTGACCATCCAGGAAAGCTGAATAACGCTTAGTTGCCTTTGCCTGCAAGCCATTGCATTTCAGCACTCACGAAGCTATTGACTCAATGACTAGAAGACCTGCCCCTTTGTGCTTATCTGGGTCTTCTCTTCGCACTTCTCCTCCACCTTCACTCTCTCTCTGCTCTGCTCCACTGTGCTACCCCACGGTCGGAAGTTGCACGGCGAGGCCGACAGGCAATAACATAGGCTGTCCAGGCCGTTGGTCGTTCTCTCACTAAACTCCGTGACCTATAGTGGAGAGTGGTATCCGTCTGGTACGGCAAAGGAACCCTATTTGAGGAGAGCACTGTCTTCCCCCGAGAAGGTGAGGGGCTATAAATGGGTGCCCTTGACAAAGCTGCATTCACTACATTCATACACAGACAATGGTTCACCGCCGCCGCCGCCGCCGACGACGACGACGACGACGACAACGACGACCAGAACGTCGTTGTGGAGAACCGATGATGCAAACTGAGGGATACGATCCAGTCAACCGCTCTGACTGTCCTCGGCAGCGCACGCCGTCAACATTAGGATTGGCTCGACGACAACGACGCCGCCATCAGCAATCTGCTCGTCGAGAAGAACCGTCTGCACAAGGCCTACATCGACCGCCCTACCGATGACAAAAAAGCAGCCCTCCACCGTAGTTGCCGCCTTGTGCAACAGCGGCTTCGGGGGATGCAGGAGGTCTGGACGGCTTGCGAGGTCGAGGAGACCTAAGGGTACGCGGACCGCAACGAATGGAAGAACTTCTTTGGTGGAATCGAGGCTGTCTACGGTCTCACAGCCATTGGAACCGCTACTCTCTCAGCATTGACTGAATCACCCTACTGACTGTGAAGGCGCAAATCCTGAAGCGATGGGTCGAGTACTTCAGAGTCGTCCTCAATCGCCCCCCCTCTCTATCTCCAACGCCGTCATCAACCAACTGTCTCAAGTGGACATCAGCGCTGACCCCGACCTCCCACACTATCTCAACGAAACCACCAGAACCGTGCAGCAACTCCCCAACGGAAAAAGCGCCCAGATCAGAGGTGATCTCTGCCGTGATTTACAAGCATGGCAGCGCCAGGAGATGCTGTGTCAAGGACAGATCCTCAGGATTTCAAGGACGCCAAAATCGTCCATATCTGAAAGCGGAAAGAAAACCGCAAACTTTGCGACAACCACAGAGAGGTCTCCCTCCCCAATATTGCCGGAAAAATCTTCACTAGCGGTCCCCTCAATCGCATCAATAGCCATCTGGAACAGGGACTCCTGACGGAAAGCCAATGCGGCTTTCACCGTCATTTCGGCACCGTTGACACGACCTCTGCCGCTAGTCAGCTGCAGGAGAAATGTCGGGAGATGCGGATCCACCTCTTCTCCACCTTCTTTAGCCTGACCAAAACCTTCGACAAGATAAATCGCGATGGACTGTGGAAAGTCATGCAGAAATTCGGCTGTCCCGGACGATTCATTCAGATGGTGCGGCAGCTCAACGATAGCATGATGGCGCGCGTCACGGATAATTGAGTCTTCTCTGAGACATTCGCAGTAACCGACGGAGTGAAACATTGCTGCGCCTACCCTCTTCATTCTCATGTTCTCTACCGTAACAGTGACCGCTTGGCACGACGAACTCCTCGGGATTTGTGTCGCCCGAAGGATGGACGGTCAACTCCTCAAGGATCAGCGTATGCACTACCAGTCGCTCGTATCCACAACTACCGTCCACGAACTTCTCTTCATGGACGATTGCTCCCTCAGGGTTGCAACAGAAGGATACATGCAAAGGACTACGGTCCTCTTCACCGCCGTCTGTGACAACTCGGGCCTGATCATCAACACAGAGAAGACGGTGTTCATGAATCAACAGCTACCCAACGCTGCCGACAACGCACCCCAAATTAACTTCAATGGAGCCCAACTGCAAGCCCGTGGAAACTTCAACTATCTGGATGATACCCTCTCTCGCAGCACCAAAATCGACGATGAAGTGGCCCACCAGATTTCCCAAGTCAGTCGAACCTTCGTTGACTTGCAAAACACCATCTGGTATCGTCATCGTCTCCACCTCAACACCAGACTGAAGATGTACAAAGCAGTCATGCTGGAGACGCTGTTGTATGGAGCGAAGACCCGGACGGTGTAAAAGGAGGTGTGAGAGATCAGCCACTTCCACCTCGGCTGTCTTCGACCGATACTAAAGCCGAGGTGGTAGGATCGGGTCCTGGGCACGGAAGAATTTGAACGGACAGGAATCCTCAGCCATGTCGTGACGACTGCAAGTGCACCGGAGCGGCTACCTGATGCGGATGTAAGACGAGTGGATATCCAAACGACTCCTCTATAGAGATGTCACCACGGCTTCGCGTCGACCAAGAGATCACGCCCGGGGCTATAAGGACATTCGGAGGACCTCCTTGAAGCGCCTGCAAATCAACTCGGCCAACTAGAAATGCCTCCTTGGAGATCGACCTACCTGGAGGAGATCAGTGCAGTCAGGCGCAGCAACCTGCAAATTTAACCGCGTTTCTGCCGCCAAATTTAAACGCGAAGCTTGCAAATCACAACTGCCCCGCCTCGCAACACCCACACTCAACCACCTCAACCTGCCCACGATGTCAGCGGATGTTCCGGGAACCAATCGGTCTTATTGGACACCTTCGGACCCAGTGTACCAAAAACCCAACAACATCTACTTCTTCTTCTTCTTCCACATTAGCCCTTGCAGCAAATCCCGGAACTACCCCCACGCTGTCGCCACCCCGCCACCTTCCATCGCGGAAATCATCCGTCCTCCCCCAGGCGAGCATTGCGTGCAGCTCCGCCGGCACCTGGACATCTCGCATCATGGGACAATGTCCGTCGTCCTATCAAATGCTACCAACACCACCAGCGGCCCCACATTCGGCGATGTGGACTCCGTCCAAATCTGTTCTCATTGTTATTGCACATCCACCTCACATATCGGCCTAGCTGGTCACTTTCGAATCCATTGTACAGAGCCTGGCGAACCAGTGCCTGGGACACCCACATACACTCACCACATCTGCCTCAACTACCCTCAATGCTCTCACATATTCAGTCGCCACGGGGGCCTACTAGGCCACATACGCATTCATGAAAATCTGCGGAAGGCAACCGCTGGCTATACCACACTATCATAGTTTCCTTCACCAGCGCTAGCACCTGCACCACACACCAACATCACCCATGGCTACACAACGCAAACACTCAATCGATATCTCTCACTAAACTGGGAAGCGTGCTTCTCGGCCCCTTCTCCATGCGGCTCCTCTGCTGCATGTGTGATCGGAGTCTGAGGCTATCGCAGTGCGCCAAGCGCCGTGGCTTTTAAGGTTGCTGACTGACGCTTCAACTCAGTCCACGCAGTCCGCCCAGTCGCGTGTGTTTGTGTGGACTGGGAGACTTGTGGGCTGTGAATCGGGCTCTAACGACTCCTTAACGTGACCTCTGGCACTCTCACGCATGTGAGAAATGTGTGTACATAGGTAGTGCCTCTCAGCCGATGACTGACTAATTACCCGGCCTTTGGAGGGTGATGGCCCAGGCTAAATGCGGGGTTGTGTCTCAACCTTCTGAGCCTTAAGGACTGTGTGTGTCTGCTATGTCCTGATTCAGCAAGCCATGACCCTGGCAGCATTTTGTTTGCTGGCAGTTCACTAACATTTGGTTCCCTGCCAGTGAATGTGCTTGTGCTCCCGCTGGGTGTACAAGTTTTGTACATGGTCACCCAGTCAGCCTCCTCTTTCTGAACCGTTTATTTTGTTTTTGTTTAAGATCCTGATTAAGTGTTTGTTGTGGACCAGGAGGTGTGATGGTACGCCTGGGTGCAGATCCGGCCGCGCCAGCTACCTATATCCTCTTCCGCCTCCGGTCTTCTTGGCTGTGTTTTGACACCGGGTTTGGGTGTGGAGAAGGAGAGGGTGCGGTAGATGCTGTACAAGTCTACTACCACTGTTAGCTGATTCACGCGCAAGTCACGTGCCTCCTTCACTTTGTTGTGGAGCAAACGGTAGATACCGTCGGCAGCGATGGTCGAACTATCCTAAAACGTGCCTATGCATATGCGGCATGTTTTACGATACTGCGAATACAGATACTACCTAAAAGCCTCGACACGTACATTATCAGTATTTTGCTACTGCATGACACAGTTACAAGGAGTTTAGCTTGTCAGTAGTCCACGAGTGTTCCGCGTGTACTTTCTAGTTGATACCTTAGTTTTGGAATTCCAGCCTCTTAATCTCCTCAGAAATTAATGCTAACGCTTTTAGGCTGGGCCTATAAGCTTCATTCAGAATTGCTTACCTCAAACTAGCACATGAGTTTTTGAGATGACTGAAAAACATAAACTTGTCTATGTTTGGAATGTCATTATTGTAATATGCGAAATGTTCTTCCTGAGTAAGAAATACCTGCAATATCTATAGGATTTTAGCTATGAGTCGTTATTAAGCAGCTTAAGAATCCGCGCATTGTGTTGCCAGAACAATCACGTCTTCTCTTTAGCAACTGCTGGCCCTGTATGGAGTTTGAATAAACTTATTTTAATAGAGGGCACACGAAGAGGGGATCTGATGTCACGAACCCTTGTGTTAAACATCGGATATCGCACTAACTCACATTTACATTGTTGGAGAGGGATTTGGCAAGCGACCTTCAAAGACAGCGCCTGAGAGTAGTTTGACAGTTTGCAGACGTTGAAACAGCGTATATGTCTGAGATCACGACCATTCATGTTTTGGCGTTATAAAAAGAGTGTTCATTTAAAGAGCTGCGGTTTTTCACATTTTTCTGATTAGAGGCGTCAAAACGAACCAATTCAAAGAAATGACTCGATTTATAAATATGCCCTTGCATCCTCGCTTCGTTTATTTCCCGTAAACGCATTTAACATACGCAAAGGGGATTGCCGAACAAATTTGTCGGAAACCAGGCAGAAATGTCAAAATAATCATATAGAAAAGGAAGGGAGAGGAAGGTCCAGCAGCGGTTAGGCGATTTCGGGGAGAAATAGCAGAAACAACGGTCGTAAGAATGCACTATTTTAAAATAACTGAAGTGATCGGAAACCCATTTATTTGACATAAAAAATTCGAGTTACATTCTGGAAGCGGTTGGCGGGTCAGCTACACAAAGCTACGGAACTTACGTTTACACCCCACACCCTGTCTGACCTAGATGGCCTTCTGAACATGTGATTTCCACTTGGTGAGACCGAAATCACAAAGAAATGAATAGCATATGAGAAATCAAATGGTCCGTTTCTGTGTGCTGAAGAAAAAACTCGCAAAGTTAAATTGTTAAAAAACGTGTAGGCGATACGTAGGCGACCAGTTGTCCTTCAAAATATGCATTTCCTGCCATCATCACTTCAAAGAATATGGTAACTTTCAGAAAGGCTTGTACAAACGTTTTGCTATGTGATTAAAAAAGCGCTATGTTGCTTAAATTTAACCTTGAAAAGACTGGTGTCATCAAAAAAAACATGTGCTTCTCCTAAAGGCTACGGCGGCAGGGCATAGCATAATTTTTTGTCGATCAGCTTTAATGTTTCTGATCTTTTGCCCCCTGCTTACCTCTGTCTTCGTTCACCATAGCGATAAAAATTTTTAAACACCCCTTAAGTTTATAGGATTCTGCGTTCAACATCGGAGTGGAGCCAAACCACTTTATTGAAGATTTGACATCTTGTTTACGAATTGTCGTATGCGATTCTAGTTACAAGGCTTTCACAGACATGCTCATTTGAAATGGACGCCGTGGAGTAATATGGTGTTCGGACATTTCCATGATTCTTTTAGGAGTTTTGAGTGCAGGTTCGTCATCTTTGCTTTTGTCAGTGGTTTCTTCTTCTTTGTAAAACGTGATCTCATTAAAGAAAGTACTTCCGATGTGATGGGGATAAAACTCCCCAGAAGGCAACACGCGAAGTTGCATAGCGACATAATTAGCCCGAATCTCATTTCATGACGGACAGTCCATTACTTTCCTTTTGAAAACGGGTAGTTATATTTCCCAAAGGATAGCTTGTATATCTCTTGGTTTTGTGATTTCCAACTGTTACAGTTTTGGCTAAGGAGATGCACTACTGTGCTGGCTCTTTGTTAGGAAACAAAAAATCTTACATACCTCTGAGAAATAGCCGAAATAGTTCTTAAACACCTATGCGATAAAAATGATTTTCGACTCAATATCGGCTGGACAGACGACCTTCAAAAAATTATTTTTCTAAATTTTGAAACTTGTGAGGTTGTGTCACAAGAGCACACGAACAGATATTTGATCGGCGAATTTCCTTCATAAGTGTCCCTTGGTCGACCAGTCCAGCTAACGAAAAATTGGTGACAGATAAGACCCAGTGTTTTGCGCCTGCAAAACATTACTACCGAGCCTACTTAGTCATTCAAAGGGAGTAGACAGCGGTCCACTCTCCCTTTATGTGCATCATAGAAACTCGAAACTAGATTATAAGAAACCGCAGCGGTCTCATCCTGCCTTACAAAAACCACCTCCAGTATCGTTTTATGCGCACCTGTGCAGCATGGTTTGCAATGTTGTACACTGGAAAATAAAATGCCACACGGCAGTCGTAGCTCCACACGACGCACTTAAACCTTGCTTCTGCAAATGTTCTTCGTTTTATAATTTAAGAGGATGCAGCCATTGTATCTAGCTCCTGTCATAACCCTGTAATATCTTGCTCAACACAGACGATCTTTCCCCGTATTTCTGCCAGCCGAGTAAACAATAGTACAGAGGTGCTTCTCATGTAAACGATGAAAAACTCAAAGACGGCAAGTATACGTTTACGATTCCTCACCAAGAGATCATTACAGCAAAATATACCCTGGCAGTACAGTGAAGGTTGAAAAAAACCTGCATGCTTGGACACATCTGGGTTCCCGACATCACTTTTACCCACCGTCAGCTTTCCAACTTTCACGATGCTACGCTGACGTGCATTTCTGTACTGAGTTAGTGATGAGTAACTGCAAAGAGTATTTGCAGGGATGAATATTTATTACCATGCTTGAAAAATTGGTCCAGAAAGAAGCTCCTACTTCATGTGGTCCAATATCACAGTGGTCCGGGAAACTCCAAAATCGTTGTAGCAAATTCCAT